TTTTTCTTCTTTGAAGCTCCTCCTTTCTTCATAAAGATCTGAGTTTCTGATTTATATTACTTTCCTTTTCTCTAAAAAATTTCTTTTAGCATTTCTTACAAAGCAAGTCTACTGGCAAAAAATGCCCTGTCTCAAAAAGTGTTTATTTCTACTTCACTTTTGCAGGATAATATTTGAAGTTGCAGAATTCTAGTTATTTTCTTTTTCTTCCAACATTTAAATTTCCTTCCCTCCCTTTCTTGCTTTTATGGTTTCTGAGAATATGTCAAATATAATTTATACCTTTGTTCTTCTATAGGTGTGGTATTTTTTTTTCTGCTGGCTTCTTTGGGGACTTTTTTCTTTRATTTTTGTTAGTTTTGAAATTATATGCATAGGTATAGCTCTTTAAAAAAATAAAACATTTATCCTGCTTGGAGTTCTTTGAGTTTCCTGACTCTATGGTTTGGCACTCACATGGATTAACAGTTTTATTTCTTATTTTCTTTCCCCTCCTCTGGCTTTCCATTCTGCCTATGTCGTGTCTTTTATAATTGTCCTATAGTTCTTGTACATTCTGTACTGTTTTTTTTAAATCCTTTATTCTCTTTACTTTTCTATTTTGGATGTTTCTCTTGACATATCAGCAGCTCAGAGATTCTTTCCTTAGCTATGTCCATTCTACTAATGAGATCCTCAAAGGCCTTCATTTCTGACAGTGTTTATTCTCAAGAATTTCTTTCGATTCTTTCTTAGAATTTCCATCTCCCTCTATTTGCATTTCCCATCTGTTCTAACACACTGCTTCCTTTATCAATTAGAATGCTTCGAATGTTAATCATAGTTGTTTCAAATTCCCTGATAATCCCAACATCCCTGTCTGGTTTTGAAGGTTTCTGTTTTTTCAAATTGTGCTTTTTGCCTTCTGGTATGACTTACAAATTTTTCTTGATAGCTGCACATGAGGTAACAGTAAAGGAATGGCTATAAATGGGCCTTTAGCAATGTGGTGATATGATGTGGAGATGGGGAAACATCATTTAGTTCTAAATTTTGATCTCCAACTGTTAGTGAGCCTCTAAACAGTTCTCTTCCAAAGTGCTTCTCAGTCTTTTCTCCTCACTTAGGTGGGGTAGGATGTTTGGAGGAGGTCAGAGTTGAGTATTTCCCTTCTCCCAGGTTGCTTAATACCTAACAGTTTATACTCTGATACAATACTTTCTCTTTTGGACTGACCTTGTTAAAAAGAATGCTCTGGCCTATTTAAAAATGGCTCCTTTACTCCCTCACTGCCAGAAGCACAATTGGATTGCTTTTCCTTAGTATTGCAAAAACTCAGTTGAGTTCCCAAAGATAAAACTCAAAGAGTGTGGGAGCCTGACTACGTCYTGGTGGCCCTGGAGTTTTTAGCTCTCAGACTTGTCCCAGGTTTCTGCAAGGGGTTCCTGCCCTAGTGATTTGTAATTCTCAATATTGGCATCTCCACCATTTAGAGGCAGCAGTTTTCCCTGTGACCACTCTCAAAAATCTGTGCCCTCCCTCAAAAATCTAAGAAGAGGTACTGATTTTTTTTTCAGTTTGTTTAGCTTTTTACTTATTAGAAACAGAGTGGCAACTTCGAAGCTCCTTACCTGCCAGATTGGAAACTGAAAGCTGGGGTTTCTTTTTGGAGTGATGAAAATCCTCTGGAATTAGATAGGAGGAATGATGGTGGGACAATTTCACAAATACACTGAAAAAGCTACTGAATTGTATACTTTTCTAAAAAGTTAAATTTTATGGTAGATCAAGTATATCTCACCAATAAATTATGGAAAAAATTGGCCAGAAATTTGAATGACCCTCACAATTTTTCATTACCGATGATAAGGYAAATAGAAGCTTAGGCAGTGCTCTTTTTGAAAAAAGCAGTACTAACATGTGGCTGTTGTTTTGTTTTTCAAAGCCTATGTTGCAGTCCATCATGCAACGCTGCTGGGTGACAGGGCAGTTGTGATCCCATCAGTTACGTGGCTTCAGTCTGCTTTTCTGCTTAAATGAAATACTGTTCACCTTTAGTCAACAATTTTGACTGCTAACTCTTTTTGTGCTTTCCTAGACAGGATTCAAGATGTAGAAGTCAGGCAGGCAGCAAGCCTTGTTATGAAACTATTCACCGATGACAGCTCCCTACCTATGGGCTTGAATAGGAGACCATGCAGCCTCCAAAGAAGCAGCTTAATAAAACTAAATGTGTTCAGAGCCCCAGTCACTTATTAGAAAAATGTTCCCCAAAGATGACTCAGGCCTTGGCTAGGAAACGAAAAAGATTACGGATTCCTCTGCAAGGAGGGGAGAGGAAATAAGAACAACAGGAAAGAAGGAACAGATTTACAGTGATAATCCTTGGGTGAAACAGAGGTGTCTCTCAATCTATAACTGTGCCTAAATCACCATGAAAGGAATATATGTTAGGCTTCAATTTTTTAAAATCTTTCTGAGATTATTAGGGATTGGAGAAGACATGGACTGAAAATGGGATCATGAGTGAATCCACTCGTATAAGAGAAGATAGGCAGAGGTTGGAGGATTAGGGCAGAGGCTGGCCGTGGGGAAGGTTTTCAGTGTGTGCTGATTAAAGGYTGCATATGAAGATTCAGAAACCAAACTGCCTGGATCTGAATCTTGCCTCTGTGATTTACTAGTCGGGTGATATTGGGGCAAGTTATATAATCTCTCAGACCTCAGCTTCCTTATCTATGAAATGAGGGAAAAAGAACTATTTTATAGGGTAGTTTTCTTAAGAAAGAAATGAATAATGATGAAAATAAAGCCACTGAAGAATTATATGCTGGGTGCAGTGGCACACACCTATAATCCCAGCAGCTTGGAAGGCTGAGGCAGGAGGATCTCAAGCTCAAAGACAGCCTCAGCAAAATTGAGGTGCTAAGCAACTCAGTGTGACCTKGACTCTAAATAAAATACAAAATAGGGCTAGGGGTGTGGSTCAGTGGTTSAATATCCCTGAGTTCAATCCCTGGTACTGCCCACCCACAAAAAGAATTATACAATACACACACATACACACACGTCCATACCATGTGTAGTATGTGTTCACTTCTTGACACACACATAAATTAATAAAGGAATCATCAGGTGAATTAAATCTGGGAAACAGATTTTTCTTGGTAAATTATGCTGTTACTAGCTCAAGTACTTAAGTCCAACATGTTGTTTTATAGATCACAGGAATAAAGAAAGAAAATATGGAGACTGGCAATAATTTAAACTTCATTAAGAAACTACCTTAATTCCAGAAGAATCCTTGAGGAAAGAAATCCTGTGACAAAAAAACCTAGTAGTGCCCATAACCTTACTGAATTTCAGGGTTGGCACAAGATATCTCTAGAAGCTCAGCTTAAGCCTGCCTCTCTCTGCCACTTTTACTGTGTGTGGTGTGAATAAGTATTCTCATTGTCACAGTATCTAATTTATTTGGCTGCCAAATTTTGAAATTACAATATAGTATATAGTTTTATTTCCGTGGAAACTTTGTGAAATACGAAAAGGACCATCCAGTTAACAAAAAAGAWATTAAATTAATATGAATGTTCAACAATTGTCTAATTCGGAAGTGGATTATGGATGCATGAAATCATCTTGGCCATTTTCTTTCAACTGTTCTACTTCATTCCATTCTTTTCTGCAGTTTTCTGCCTTAGGGTATTGTGATATTCGTGTCATGTGACTTGTGAAGAGATGGAGAAATATTTTTTAAAACTATATCATAAGTATTTGTTACAGTTTAATCACACTGAACAAATCTGGATTTCATTCCTACTCCATTTTTTTCTTAGCTCAGATCAATATTTCAATTTGAACTTTGGTTTCCTCTTTTGTAAAATGGCAGTAATAATTTTGTAAAATGGCCGTAGTAATTTCCACCCAATAAGCTATAATTATGGTCTTCTACTAAACTAAAAAAATCGATTTGTTCTTGGATGTAAGACAAACCAATGATTCCAAAGTTTGTATTTCTTTTTCTCTTTATTTTATTTGTATGTGGTGCTGAGGATTGAACCCAGTGCCGCACACTGGCTAGGTGAGCACTCTACCTCTGAGCCACAACCCTAGCCTGTGAAGTTTGTATTTAATGTGATCATTTATTCCTTCTTACACTGGTGCTGACCCTAGACTTAACTACTTGCTCATTGTCATCTTTGGATAAAATAGAATTTACTGTTCATTATTTATGTATASTTGAGGAATCAGCAGCTTACACAACTGAGTGGAAATCCTTAAAATGGCCATCTCAGCAAATGTGCTGACAAAGAAGCACCTACGTGTGGAGACTGTTCCCAAGTAGCAATTTGTTTCTATGGCACCTAAGTAGAGAAAGTCAGAATTGGTCCCTGAAAGCAGAAAAATATCAAGTAGTTAAGAATCCCACATTTAGGTAAGAAAAGGTGATGATATTTTCCAACAAACAGTTAAAGTTGGTTACAACTGTTTTTTTCTTTATTCATGTAACTAAAGGACATTCTTAGGCTATGATTTAATTTCATATTAACATTCAATGGAAAAAGTTAGATATTTGACTTACAAGGCTAATGACATGTTTCCAAGATCTACAATGTCACTTTTGCTTCAGTGAGGAATGAAAATAATACAGTAGAAGAAAAAACACTTTCTTGGTAAAGAGGAATTTAGGAAGAAGTAGTCAAGCAAACATCGGGATGAGAATTCAMTATGATCATAAATGGGAGGGAAGGAAGAAAATTTGGTCTTTCATTCATTCAATTTAGAATTACTTTTTGAAAAACTTCTAAGTACTTGGTCCTGTGCCATATGCACTGGGGATAGTCACATTAGATAATCCTTGCCTTCCAGAAACTTTCAATCCAGCAAGGCAGGGTGACTTGGCCAAAAGTGGTTTTACCAGAGTAGAAAATGTCTCATTTATCAAGCTGAAACTGGGGCCGTGGGGACACTAAGAGAGTCATGGCACGAGAAAAAAAAAAAAAAACGAAGCTGAAGACAGAAACAGTAGATCCCGCCACGCCCCCAGGAAAAGCAAAAACAATTTTAATAGAGAAAGTGTTTGCCCTTCTTTTAAATAAAATACATTTAATACTTTGTATAATACATTGAAAATATGACTTGTTCTTCAAAATGTCTTTTCTACAAATGATTCTGAGGCTCAACTGTGATCACAAGATACATGAAATTAAATATATCAAGGTGACACAACTACTCAGTCAGTACTCTATGTAGTGCAKGATTCATAAACTCCACAAGTCACACAGTTTATACAAGTTAACATGGGCTATAAGAAGTGGTTAAGTATTCATCCCTGCTAGCTACAATGAATATCCTTTTAACATTGTCCCTTGGTGTCCTCTGCTTTGAAAGAYGTACAGTGAAATTTAAAAGTGAGCGACTACTATAGGCACTGCTGTGAAGAAAATACATTGTAAGCTGGAAAAGCCTTTTGAATTATATGTTTATGCCAAAAAGCTTGACAAACACTGAGCAGCCTGTAAGGAATGTAAAAACTCTTMACTCTCAATTCAAATGAATATAATTTACTTATTTGTAGCAATATTAATTTACTTATTAAACTAATTATCCTGAAATGCTTTGGTTGTCAGGTTCCAAAATAGTTTTGAAATTAGGAAACTATTTTMCCACTGATTCTTGTGGGTGGTCCAAAACCCTATGATATTCACAGCTGAAAAGCATTTTGTGTATTCTCATCTTAATTTAAGTGATACTTCATTAGGAGGAGCAAAGTAACTTCTCTTAAAAAAAAAGATTAAAAAAAGCAGATCACTCCTGATTAATTTCACCTCTTTTTTGGTTCAACATCCTGAATGTAGATTTTTTGCATGCTGTCACCTCTGTTTCAGACTAAAATGACACCTATCATTAAAGAAGGGTGGCTCAATCTACTGACACTCAGAATGGCCCAATGTAATGAAGGTATCAGTCGCTAGGGCTTCTGAAATTGGTTCATAGTTMTACTTGGGAGAAATTTCATTCCAATAAATATAGTCTTAAAAGTTGTTAAATGCATAATTCCACAAAAAGCACTTGAAGAAAGTCTGGTGAATATGATTACCAGGAGATGCCAAAACCCATACATTTTGTTCCAAATGTAATCATGACAACCATAACAAAAGCAGTAAAATGCAAGACAGGGAGATCTCAGTCTTTCTTAAATGACTTTAGTCCTGTTCCATGGAGAACAGGTAATGAAAGTATATATGTCTGGCTACACTTGCTTTTAAGTAGATCTCTTCTGGGACCATACACTCCAAGGAGTTTCAGATTTTTTCGTTATCATCATTATTGATTTTTTTAAATGCGACTGGGCTTGCTTGTTTCAAAGAAGTCTTAGAAACATCCGTGTGCATGGTGGACATGGCTATTGTCTCATAGTCATCATCCCGAGACCGGAAATCACAAAAGTTAAAGAAGAACTGCAAGTCTCTCTGGAAGTTTTTGTTCAGGAATCCATAAAATACAGGGTTGACGCAGGTGGAGATCATTGCCGTGAGGTGGCAGAGCAGGAATAACAGATTGTGGTTGCACGTAGCAATGATCTGATGATTCCAATCAAACACAGTGTTAAAGATGGTGAGAGGCAGCCAGCAGACTGCAAACGCTACCACGATGGACAGCAGCATGATGTTGATTCTTTTGGTTTCACTTGACCTGTATTTATTGTCTCTCATCTTGTCCATCATGTTATTTCTCCTTTTTAAGCGAATGTATATCTGTAAAGGAACAAAGAATGAGTTCAATAGAACCACTTGTTGAATGAGGAATTTCTTTGCCAAGAAGTAAAAAAGGGAGATGATAGGGAGGAAAGATTTTCTTACCTTGAAGTAGCATATAAATATAAAGCAGAGTGGGCCAAAGTACTGCAGCACCAAGAGGAGAGTAGTGTAAGACAACCTATGAGAGTCSGAGGGAAATTTATCAAAGCACACATACTTGTCTTTGAATGCATCCAGCGTTAGATTTTGGAATGGCTCATCGGTCAAGACTTGATAGATCAGGAAGGGCAGAGAAGAAGCCACAGCAAGGACCCAAATGACAGCAATACCTATGTAAGCATGTCTATTACTTGGTCTCCACCCTCGTGGGTTGATTATCAGCTGATGGCGTTCCACAGCAATGAGAACCAGAGAGAAAATGGACACGGTGATGGAAACACATTGCACAAAAGGATTCAGCTTGCACATGGTCTCACCAAAGACCCAGTGGTCCATCAGCGTGTACACAAAYGTGAACGGGAGACACATGATGGCAACGAGCAAGTCTGAGAAGGAAAGATTCACAATCAGGATGTTGGTGACATTCCTCATCTCTTTCTGCTTCAAGATGATTATGATCAAAGCCAGGTTTCCAGAGACCCCAAGAATGATCACAGCTCCATAAGCAAGAGCTAAGGTAAATATCACAGCCAAGGGCAGGTGACAATCATCATTTTCAAAAGCCAAAAATGGGGAACTCTCCTCTGACAAATTATAGTGCACTGAATGATTTTCAACCTGAGAAAGTAATGTTGAATTCATTTTGATTGGTTTTGTTTTTACAGATTTCACAAGAGAACAGTATGTTTCTTCAAAGCAGGTCAACTGTACAGCTTATTCTTATGCTCCATATTGGAATCCATTTACCACAATTATTCTGAATTCTTCATTCCCTTGAACTGAATAATCTGTAAAGAGAAAATGATCAATTGCATTACAAATTTTATTGAGGGTAGTCAAAATAYAATTCTGACGCATAGTACTCTTTAATGTGAAGACACTGAAATAAGTAAACAAAAAGTAATTTTGTAAATATATTTTTTAAATAGCAGAGGCCAAGCAGACATTTTGAATTTTTAAAAACCTGGAAATATTTTTACTTGGTTCTGCTTATACATTGAGTGTCAGTGGTCTACATGTTAGTAAGGTGTACATAAACTTCATGCTCCAAAAATTTTATACAAATACTATCGGCATACCCCTAAACATAGTGCAAATGCAAATGTGTAACAACTTAATGCACAGATTAAAACAGAAAATATGGAACAAGCAAAGCAAAAGAACAACAAAAATACATAGTTTTTTTTCCTCCTACTATAGAAATGAATGGATTAGTGTAGAGGTCTAAAGTAGCAATAACTCAACATATACGGGGCTGCTTCTTATAGCAGAAATTATTTAGCACAAGTATACTCAAAMGGAGATGATTTTTTTTGTTCCAATTAGTTATACATGACAGTAGAATGCATTTTGACTCATTGTACACAATGGAGCTCAATTTTTCATATCAGACAGAACATTTGTGAAACTTTATCATATGAGGTACTGTTGAAAGACCAGATGACGCTTAATGCAGAAAAATAATGGTAAAGATGCCATCTCATATTTTAATTGTGGTCTATAGAAAATAGAGAACCACTTTGAGAATGTTATGTCTACTATACAACTTAGAGGTAGGACTAAGGGATGCRTGTTAAATTTTTTTATAAGATCACCTCATTACAAAAAACAAAACTTCAATCAAATGAAATATACCATCTGCAAAGCAGCAGATACTCCATGCATAAAAGTTTATAAGCACTACATGAAAGGGCACTTTGAGAAGTTCTTGCATTGTGCAGGAGACTCTAAGCCTCTATAATGGTTATTAATATATCAGAAGCTTTCAAAGAATTTCTAAGGTTTTATCCATGTAAATATCCCCCCTTTCCTACAAGACATATGTCTCCAGGGGAAGGGTCTAGATGTTAGTTATAATATCAGCTGTAATCACATTCTTCCTCTTGAGAWTTCAAAAGGCAGAGAGAATGACTGGTAAAAATGTCAGTTAGAATGTGACAACAAACTTTGAAGAGGCAGCCAATTATTTGTGATATATACATTCTTCTCTTCTTACCAAGACAAATCATAGACAATAGTCTTGTACAGAGGTTCAAATCTAATTTTTAAAAAAATATCTGATTTCTCCTAGATTACTAAGTAAGTTTCTAAGATGAGATTTCTTAAGTTAACTAACAGATCTTCATGCCTGTGTTGAGAAACTGAATTGCATTTCTTTCTTACATAAGAACAACAAAGACTATTGCATAAATTTACTTCCATTGAAAGAAAAATAAGAATGTATTAAAAATGTATTTGCCTTTTATATGATGCCTTTCGTAAACCTTTCCTTCAGTGCTTTTGTTTTTTAGAATATGGGGTGATTTTCTATTATGAAACTGCAATTTAGCCTTATAAAACTGAAGAAGGTAAAAATAAAGGTTGTTATCACTAAGTAAAAAGAAAGCATTAAGGCATGGTAATGGAATGATTTTGCATGTGGACATCATGACAAACACTGCTCTCTCTTCCTCTGTGCACAACCTATTACTTAAGGGGTAATTACACTTGTTCTCTTAAGAATTGCAAAAGCAGTGAGCATGACCACTTATGTCATTTGGAATGAGAGAACAAGCCTGGAAGAAGCAGGTAATATTTTTTTAAAAAATATTTATTTTTTAGTTGTAGTTGGACACAATACCTTTATTTATTTTGTTTTATTTTTTTTATGTGATGCTGAGGATCGAACCCAGGGCCTCGCACATGCTAGGTGAGTGCTCTACCSCTGAGCCACAACCCCAGCCCTGAAGCAGGTAATAATTTTAGTTTTGAAATCTMATATTTCTTAGAGATTTCAAGAAAGTTTAGCATCATATTTTGTATTCAGGTTACTATAGAGATCTTTAACATTGCTTATCAGTTATGAATTTTCATTATTTAAAGTAACACTTGCACAGTAGCTAAGTGTATCCTCATTATCTATAGTTTCTCTTGGCTCCTTGTTGCCAAATTCCACCATGAATGAGGATCCTGGTATGAGAGTCATGAGGCATGGACTATTGAGTGTATTCCTCAGCCWGGCATTAAAGACCTCTATGTTAAGYCTTCCTTCCACTCTTTGCTCTAATAACCCCAATGTGAATGCTCTGTTCTGGGCAGGCAAAATGATTCACAATTCTCAAATATAACTCTGTCTTCACATATAGCTCTTCCATTCCTCTTCCTGAGTGTTGTCTCCCATTACCAATCCAAATTCTACCCACCCTTCAAAGCACCTTTAGTCCCTTGAASCCTTAATTGGTGCCCATCCATTTCAATATAACATCTGTGAGGGTTGACATTGTGCATATTTCATAGTACCTTGAAATATTAGATTTAGAATAAAAATATGTTGACTGATAGATGTAGAGATGGAATAGTAGGTTTTTGTATAAATTAATCTTACAGCAATGGCTCAATCTATCATCATCCTTYTGCATCCAAAATGAATGTTAGTTACAATAATCATTCTGTTAGGTCAAGTACAAAGTAGAGAATGTTACACTTTGTATAAAAAAGGAATTGTTTATGAAAGAATTTTCATTTTTCCAATGAATAATTATGTAATACTTATTTTGWCAGATATGGATTTAGTAGAGAGAACAGTGATCCTTTCATTGTACTTCAAATCTGATGGACAGAGAAAGACAAGAGAAAAATAAACTAATAAAAGGTATAGAATGCTAGATGATAATAAGTGCTATGGAGAACAATAGATCAGGGAAGGGAAACTGGGATTGTCAGGAATTACAATTTATTACTGGGTGGTAGAAAAAGGCCTCTAACTGCCTAAGAAAATGGCCTGTAAATTAAGACCTAAGAAAGGTGAGTAAGGAAGCCATGTAGATATCACAGGGACATTTAAAAAGGGAAAGAAAAGATGTAGAGAAATTTGTTAGGGGCTAATTTAATAATCTAGGCAGGAGTTTATGGGGGTATAGGTGAAGGTGTTTGAAATGGATAGGAAGAAAAAAGAAATTTTATATCAGCTGACTTACTTTGACAATTATGGGAATTTGTGCAAACACTTATTAAATTATTTCAATCTATGGGCTACAAAGAGACTTCTTACAGAAGAGTTTAGGTAAATATATTAAAACTCTACTCAGATACCTTTGAAATTATATTTGATATACATGTCCTACAGAAAATAGAGGTTTTCCTATTCAGTAGAAGGTAATTTAGCTATACAGAAAATGAAAACTTTTTAAAAAGTGTTTCTAAGCTTCTTCTGCTAAGTGTAGGGTTGTTAGCCATTCCACTTGGGTAAATGAGTTTGCATTGGATAAAATGCATACTTTGTTTACCTTCATATAATTACCAGAAAAATAATTTTTAGAAGATAACAGTCTTAAAAGAAAGTTAACATGCCTTATCTTTGCAAAAGTAAACAATACATTTCTATTCGAATATATATTTATAAAATAAGCTACACAACTACAGACATTGCAAAGCTTAGCGAGCCTTAAATTTAGCTGTCTGTGTACCTTTARAAACCAAATAGAGACCTACAAACATCACCATTTGGCAAATTAGGCCCCTTACTGAGGGAAATTCCCTTATTCTTCTTTTCAAGTAAAACCCTGGCTTCTCACTGCCTGCTATTAGCAGTGTTATTCCCATCTGAAAATACAGCTGTCTGGGCATAACCTGCTGCAAATGTATTTCAAATACCCGGATTGTCTGTTCACCACAACTGTTTTGGAAAAGAAATGTCAGTTGTGTTACACACAGCCCCTGAAAGTTACTGCTAGCGTATCTAAACGAATTACATAATTCTCCTGCCTTCCCTGAGTGAGGAGAGAGCTTGTTCAACAGACAGCTGCCTTAAGACACTAAGAAAGAATAATATTAAGATAGTAGCCAGGAAAAGTGCTCAGTCTTTAGCCACGGACTGGGAACTGGGATCCAGAGCTCTCTATTCTCTCTTGTTTCACCAGAGAACCTGCTCAGGGTCTTGGGAAATGAGGGCTACTGTTCTCAGGTCCAGCRCAGAGAGGAGAACTCTGCACTAGCTCCTGCCTTTGTGTGTCAACCYGGAGCTAAGCTTTCTCAGAGGATCCAGGTGAGCATGGCAAAGGAACGTAGAAACCTACTCCCTCTCCTCGCTTCTCTAGGTTTTTCTGTGCTCTGGGAGTTACCAAAGAATGAAATGGTATATGTCAAAATTTCTGTGGCAGGCTTAACCGCCCACCCTTCTCATATTGTGTAACTAGGCGAATTGCCTGGATCTTCCCCCCTATTCCTGACCCACTACACACACACACACACACACACACACACACACACACACACACCATGGCCAAATCCTAAGTCACTTCTCTCCTTAGCCCAATATCCGTCCTTAAAACATTCTCATCTCTGCATTCCGTCTGGGGACCAACAGGACACTTACTAAGCCACCTCCACGTAGGTCCTTCCTCAATCTCCTATCCCAGCATGTTCGCACATTACTGGTCTAGAAGAAGCAGCTAAAGAAAGAGTTGCACGATTAAAACTCTGAAATATTAGGACAGGGTTCAGGGTGTCTACCAGAGAGCAGCGACAGACTGAAGGGCCAACTACCGGGGGATCCAGGCTCTATTCCAGACCAGTCAAGTGGGGCAGGTGTGGGATCCGCGCCCCAGGGGCCGGCAGGGGCCAATGGGACAAGTGCTGCGGGACTGGCGCGGAGGCCCACTCCTCGCGGGGCCCAGGGGTTCAACGCACCCCAGCCCCTCTGCAAGGGAACCGCACAGCCGCCCCCTGCGGCGGATCGAGCCAGCTCCGGGGAAAGGCGAAAGCTGCAATAGGTGCGGGGAGACCCCGCAGGGCTCCTTCCCGTTCCCTCCCTGGGCTTTAAGAGAGCCCGAGGAGAGGAAAACTTGGATCCCCGTCCCGAGCCCCGGCAGCAGGGCGCGGGGAAGCGCGAACTCGGGATAAGGTGCCGGCTCCTTGGCCAGCGTCGGCCCCCAGCCCTGCGGCAGGGGTCCGGGAGCGGTCSGGTCATCTGGGGCATCCAGCCACCTGCCCGCGCTGGACACCCAAGCAAGAGGCTGACTCCGCGCTGCACCTGGGTCCGCACCACCAGTTTGCAGCCCTCGCGTCCTTTCCCGTCCTCTCTCATCCGTCGCCCCGTCAGTGAGAGATTTCTCCAAAGTCCTTTAAAAAGCGTAAACTTGAAACTTACCCTCTTCCGAATTCGTCTTTTCCGCCCCTGTCTATTAAAGCGAGAAGGGAGTCATGGAAAGGAGCAGAGAGGGGAGGAAAGATCCTCTGGTATTTCTCCTGCTCAAATCCTAAAGATTGGTGAAGATCGGAAGGGACGCCCCCTTAAAGCCGAACTCCACCTCATCCCGATCACGTGACGGCGCCCCGCGGGGAGCGCCGGAGGCTCCCCCACGCCCCCAACACCTCACCTTGGATACACACCTCGAAGGTACGTGGCCTAGGAATTCAGGAGAGAAAGATCATCAGCCTAAACGCACGCTGTCAGGCACACGCACCGTGCCACCGTGCCACCGTGCCACCGTGCCGGGGGAAGTGAGCCCTCATCCCCACACAGTCCTGGACTCCGAGTTGGCCAGGCAATTTGACAAGGCTTTAAAAAAAAGTCAGTGCCACCGTGATGTCTTTTGTTTGCAGGTCAGTGCCATCTTGTGGCCGAAGTCGTACTTGGTCTGAAAGCTCGAGCGTCAGCAGGGGTCTAGAATGAAAGGGCAGGTTATTTACGGGAAGAGGAAACGTGTAATTCGCTGCAACGACGCCACTAATATGTTTTTTACTTTGTTTTCTGACGCTCGAATAGTCCTCATGCTGGTACACAGAATTTATTTTCTTAAGTTGATACTTGAACAAAAAGAAGACCTTTAAAAGGCCAAACGAGCAAATCTTGGATGATAGTCTGGCTTTTTCATCCTCCTTCCTTTCTACTGAGAAAATACTACATTGACTTAGATTTGTTCCCATCGCCTAGCTGCTTTTTATAGTTTGGGGGCGCGGGCACGATGAAGTGAACATTTCCCTTGTGGTCGCAAAAAGCCAGTGCAATTTCTTTGGTGCTTAATCCACCACAGTAAGGAAYGTTATGAAGAAAAGAAGGTACAGAGAGGACTTCAATGGTGCAAGGTGGTGTTGGTGATTCAGGCTCACTACTCACACTGAGATGTTTTACATGTGTCTACTCCAGTTTTAAAGTCAAGATTGTATAATAAACACGCACACACACACGTGATTTACTGATACAGATGACTGGAATGTCTTCCAAATCAAACTAAAAAAAAAAAAAAAGTAAATGCCTTTCCAATAAAGGTACGGGCACTGCCTAAAATATGCATCACCTTCTGTCTTCAAACTAAAAGCAAAATTAATTTCAAAACAGATGGGATCACCTGAACTTTACACTGTTTGAAATGTTTTCTTTTTCTGATTTTCAGCCTGAATAAAAATTACTTGAAGTTCAATATAAACTCATTTATTTATATAGATAGTGATGCACACAATCTCTGGGGGTGCCCTCCCCCCCGAAAAGCTTTCTAAAGTATTTGTCACTATACCCACTTTTACATAGTTAGTAAAGGAGTATGATCAAGAATTAAAATTCTGTGATCATGCTGTAAATGTCTTATGTGTACACAATAACAGATGAGTATTCACTTGAAGATCCCACTTCTTGTTAAAGAGAGTAAAATGACAGACCCTAACTGATATCATTCTTACAGATATAATACACACACACACTCACATACACCAAGGATAAAAATATAAATATAATTTAGGAATTTCAAAGCCTTTAAAGAGCGATAGCATACTTATTTGAGTTCATTATAYTTCTATCCATCKTCTATCAACTCCACTCCATTAATTCTGATGTTCTTGACGTTTTCTCTAAAGCTTTTGATCATCATACTGGTTAGTTTTAGCCTATTGCAAGTACTAGAAATGAAATGATATAACTCTCTACTAAGAATATATTTCTTTGTAAAATTCTTCATTGTTTCAGCAAATATTTTGGATTTGAGAATATAATTTGGACTCAGGTACTTTATTTTGTGTATATTCCATGCTAAAAAAATGGCTATATTAAAATGGCCATTGTATTTTATCATTTTAATAACTCTTGTTTTTAGGGAGTATTGCACTAAGGCAAATCTATAAAGCTRCATTCTTGAGATATTAATTAAAAACAAATACTGATATTTGAAAGATTATCTGTGTCAAAGCCCCCCCCYTTTTTTTACATGATAGTGATACAAAGAAAAGTTGTGAAAATTGAAAACAAAATCCTGYAGCTCTCTAGAAATATCATTTACTGAGGAGTCATTCCAATGTGTAAACTAGAAAAATTGGATTTGATATAATGACCAAATACAACATAAGATCCTCTTATAATGTAATTTTTTTTTTTTTTTGTACTGGGAATTGAACCCAATGGCACTTTACCAGTGAGCTACATCCCCAGCCCTTTTTTTATTTTTTATTTGAAACAGGGTCTTACTAAGGTGCTAAGGTTCTCACTAAATTGCTGAGGCTGGCCTCCAGTTTGCAATTCTTCTGCTTCAGTGTCCACAGTTGCTGGGATTACAGGAGAGCACTACTAAGCAGAGTGAGATCCTTGTACAATGTCATCTTTTTCTTTTTTCTTTTTTTTTAATTGTTTTAGTTGTAAATAGACACAATGTCTTCATTTTATTTATTTATTTTTATGTGGTGCTGAGGATGGAAGTCAGTACCTCACATGTCCTAGGCAAGTGCTAGGAGCTACAACCCCAGCCTCTATAATGTAATTTTATGGGCGGTTTGAAATAAAGTAATCTGAGTTCCTCAGAAACTATATATTAAATTTCAAGATCACTTACTTTTCTTCTTTTTAGTGAACTGTCAGTTGAATACTTTCCTATCTGGGTCTCAGACTAGATAAAACTTCACTGTTGCTAAGGAGAGAGAAATATTTTGAATTCTGTGTGTTTCCTTATAAAATTTCATAACAGCCTGACCTATAAACCATGACTAAGATAAATAAATTAATGATGTATCTTCATTTTCTCTTGAGCAACAGTCTTGCGCTGTCATTTGAACTGAAGGATATGATCTACTCATTAAATCAAAGCAAATCTTAGTTTTTATCATCTAATAAAATGGAAAATTTTTATAGTCTGGTTCAGGCTTTAAATTCCATGATCCAATTCCTGTTGTGATAAAAGTACGTTTCTCAGATAATTTCTGTAGCTTAAACATTGTAATTACTTTATTAGTATTATGATAAATTTCTGCTGCAAGGGTTAAAGTTTCTAAAATACTACTAGGCCCTGATACAGGGAAATTAYCATAATTTATCATCCAGAAGAATCCAGATAGGTATTAACACTCCACATGAAAAGTAAAATGGGAAGGAAGAAATTCCCCTGGGGTAGAGCTTACTATGAAGCACACTGCCAAATCAATTTATGGCCTACACATTGATTATGTGTTATTTTCCCATCTTTCTCTAAATTACTTACTGCATTTCTCTAAGTYGATGGTGTCAAAGAATGTAAAATGAAAATGTTATTTTATGGAATAATATTGAAGTTATGAAACAATAAGAGAAGATGCTTTGGGAAAGCAATAGCATACCATCAGTTTTAAAGGAACTACAAAGTATTAAGATTTCTTTTTTAAAAGGCCACATCTTAGCACTAATGCAATACAGCTGGTACATAGCTTTGACTAGATTGGTAACTACAATTAAGTAGTCAACACAATCATTTTATTCAATTGTATTTTGAGAGAAACAACTAACAGAATAAATAACAATTAATTTAGTTAAAATAAAAGTATATAAGTACCTAAACAAGCAACTCTCCATGTGTAAAAATTTCAAATATTTACAGATTTGTTCTTCATGTGAAAAGAGAATGCACTTCAATAAAGTTTTCATTTGRTCACATAGGCTACGTATTTAAGTCATTTTTCAACACCGTTGGAATAATATTCTAGAAAATTAAGGTCTTAAAATTAAATAAATATCCAAGAATTTTTCTTCAGGATTCATATTGTTAGACAAACTTTAGACATTCATGCCATGTTACAATAATTTAACATTATGTGTTCATTACATGATAAGATGAAAAAAGATTAACCATTGTTAGCGTTATTGCTTTTAATAATCATTATTACTCTTCCCTTCATATCTTCTGTCAAAGAGACAGGGTGGGAATAGCTGATGAGTAGGCCAAGCAAGCATGAATCCCCACTGGGCCCCACATCATCTATGACAAACATCTCTAACTGCTCATCATGCCCCCTACCCTGGCCCCCATCCCCATRATTCAGGCTTGGTCTTAAGATTCCTTCACAACACAGTACCTAAGGGAGCCCCTAGCAGTAGATCAGACCTGGCCCAGGAAGTGAAGTTGTGATAGGACTATTTTTCCCAAAGATAGGAGAAAGATTCCTTATATATATTTAAATAATATCAYAAATGGGTACAGATTGGTCATTATTTTGCTAAGAGAAGTATCCTTTCTTTAGTCCTTTATTTAAGGTCTAGTTGTTATTTTTTCCCAGATGCATTTATGCTGCGCCCCTCCCCTGACTCAGGCAATGGCAAGGCCCTACTGAGGTGGATGGCACAAGGCGTCCATCCTCTGGAGGAGCACAGTATGTTTCTGGGAATGGGCTGACTTGTTTTTGTGTTCCTTTAATAAGTATAGTTGTGATTTCCCATATGACCATTAAGTATGAAGGAAAAAACATGACTTTCCCAATTAATGCAACTACTTCTAAGAATAGATCTGTTTGCTCTAAATGCAATGATTCAGCTGTGGAGCGTAAATTGTTAATGTCTAATGAAAAACTCCCTGTATTCCTGTCAAGGAAGTTTTTGAGAAATTAAATTAAAATCTAGAGAAGAAAAATTAATGTTAAGAAGACAGATTAGYGCTTAGTACTGGGCAACTTGTTCCTGTGCACAATGGTTTGTGCTCTTACTCTTGTTTGATTAAAATTAATAACAAGCCAACCACTTGCCGTAACCATGGCACCGGTTCCAGTCAGTAAGTCAAGAAAGAATAGTCAAGGTATAGGCCAATAGTTTGGGACATTTCTAACTATTACTAAAAGTTAACTTAGCAGAAACAGCTCAAAGCAAAATGTGAACTGAAAGTATAAATGCTTGCTTATGCATAAGCCAAGATCCATTCTTCTATTCTAATTGTAACTACATAATATTTTGTTTCTTTGAATAATGATTCCTGTTTTGTTACCACAAAGTACTGTGAGCCTGCCAAAATGAAAAGTATATATGATCAACTTCACAAGTAAAGATTGGGATT